GTTGGAGCGGTTGTATACCTGGGAGTACGGCGCGTGCGCGCGTATTGACCATAGGTTAGTCGCGCATGGATGAAATGTTTGATATGACTCGGCAACTTTAATATTCAATCGACCTCTTATGTAGTATCCAAGAAAGTGAGTAACATGCCGCTGGTCGATCTCATACACAGAAAGATTTTAACTCATCTATATTATTGCCAGTTCGAGTTTCGCGAAGCCGAATCTACGTCAACCTCTCCGCCTTGTACCGCTTCAAAAATGGATCGAGCCAGAAAATGGACTACCGCGCCGTCTGGTACAAAACGCCACTGGTCTGTCCACCTTTCGCGCCCAATTCACGTCTTCTAACTCATGAAAACTCAGGACCAGCGTGCATGGCGGGTGGATATCAGTGGCGATTTTTCGAAGGTCTTCGCCGAGCTGACTGCGGTTGCGGGACCCCCTCCACTCTGACAGCGCGGAACGCCCACAACGAAGTGAATTGTACGCTTGCGCATCCATATTTGATATCTGTTACAAATCACATAGTCACCCTGGATGCATTAGATTTGAGAATGATGTCCCTCCACCGTATTGAGTAGACTGATTTCGAAGCCGCTGTGCCGCAGATCCTGGATGCGATGCGTGTGGCGCAAGATTTCTTCGGGGTCGCAGTATGTCTCGATGAAATTCAGAGAGGCGGGCGATTGCGTCCTGGAAGAGCCGACGGCGTTGCCTGTGGAAAGTCTTCGTCGCATTTCTAGCATAGTCAGCAGGGGATCTAGGTCGCGCCTGCCTTTGAGAAACAATTGAATTAGCGATGCACCAATCTCGCCTCGGCCGATCCTGTATAGAATGTCGGGAGTAACTGGAGTGCTCTGGGAAAAGGTGAGGGAAATCAGCTCGGGCGTGAGCTGGATTAGTCGTAGGACTTCCTGGGATTCGGAGATATTGACTGAAGCCAGTGAGATGTGCTCTAAACTGCATCCGGACCGGTTAAGCAATCCGCTATACATTCCGGGAGACCATGGGACTCCGTCGTAATTATAGATCCAGAGAGATTTGAGGCTGGGAAGAATCAGGGGTAAGAAGAAAAGGTCGTAGTTTTCCTGATCGCAAAGGTGAACAGTGAGACTGCGGAGATTAGGTAGTGATATTTGGTAATTGTGTACGGTTGGGGGAGGGAGATATCTGATGCCAAATATACGAATATGAAGTAGTTTGAGGGCTTGACATTTAGTGAGCATTGTGATGCAATGGTGAGAGTCCATGCTCGAATCACACCTGAAGGATTCGAGCCGGTGCCAGGGAAAGAGGAGATACTGAGGTAGAACTAGGGGACCGAGCTGCAAACGAAGATTGCGGACACGGGCCAATGGACTGAAGAAGGTGACTGGAGACTCCCAAGGCATTACGAGGCCCGTACTAAAGTTGGTATTTGCAGCTATGCTGAATTCTTCGGCGCGGTCGAAAGAACCAGCGGGTAGTGATAACAACGCGTCGATTTGAGTAGGGTGCAACACTACATGCAAGTACCTGAACCTGCGGGAGAAGGGTGCAATCAAATCCCGAACGAAGTCGACAAAGACGGATTCATCGTTGGGTGTATCCGTTAATGTCATGGAAAGAGGCATGTCTGCGGCACAAGAGAACCACAATTGAGCGACTGCAAGCTTCTGTTGGCGCGTATAGGTGCTGTCGACGGAGAAATGAACCGCCTTCCACAGTTCTGGCATGTTCATGACTATGTTCCTCCAGCAAGAGAAAACACCACAGAGCACCAGAGGAGGATCCTGCACGCGGGGCGTAGAGCGATTGTAACCCGCAGAGACATAGCGGAAGATTGTCTGCCAAATTTCAGTGGGCAGAAATTTATGAGGGGAAAGTGCCACTCGATAACGTTTCATAGCCGTGATCATCTTTTCTCGTTCTTGAAGTAGCGCTTTGTTACCTGGCCTGGGTCCTTTTCTGAGGACACTATCTAACTGAAGCACGCGGTTTCTTCGTGCACGATATCGAGCTTTGACATGCCTCGTGTCGTGATCGTTTAGTATGGCGTTCGTCAGGCCAATTCTTTGGTCGAATGCATCGCCCTCAAACGGCAGAGTGTCCATCGCCGTTATACCTACGTGTGTGAGCGCGCACTGGGCCAAATGCTTTGACGCCACTCACCACTTAATGATATATCCATGTAAAATATCGGTTTTCGTGAGATAAATGTCTAGTCCCCTCGAGGGCACCAAACAATCATATTCTACTCGTGAAAGTCGCTGCTCCTGTCGAATCTTCAATGTTGAGCACGCTAGGACACGAATTGGCGAATTGAGATATTCTGGCCTATGTTTGAGGGCCGTTTAACCATCTTATCTTCTGACTCTCGTAATATGCAGAGCGCATGCCATGACCGGCCCATTGAGGCATATTGGGAACGAGGACAAGGGTGGGCACAGGCGTACTTGTGAACAATGGATCGGGAAGTAAAATCCGCGACTCCGAAGTTCCCTATTTTCTGCGTAACTCCATGCAGACGTTCTGGCAAATTTTCCACGTTTGACCACTGTAAAACATTATCACTGTTGAAAGACGTACATACCGATGCTTTTTAGACTTTGCAAGAAGCTCTGATCGCAAATCTTGTCCTTCCTTCAGGATAAAAACATAGCCAACCTGCTTCGGCTTATTCCGGATGGTCTACTTTTGAACCAAAGAGCCGTCTGCCATTGGCAACCTCCACATAACCTGTCAAAAAAGTTACTGAAGAACCTTGGGGAGGACCTCCGCTTAGAATCTCTGCAATTATTTCTCGCAATGCTCCGAAGCCTGATATTGCCGCTTATGAGACACCCTGAAGACGATGACGAATACCGATGTCGCCTCTACAGGATGACTGATCAGGAAACCGAAATAGCCGTGCACGCAATATACTGAATCCCGTATTATCATGCACCATCTCATTCCTTCTTGTCCGCAACTACATTACATAGGCCCCAGAAATCGAGAGACAATATGAGTACAACGTACGTTCCATGAGGCATTTGAACCCGCAATGTCACTCACTGATTTGACTTCAGACATGTAAACATGTACGGGGGTTCCCCTCTGAACCGCTTATCTTGGCTGCGTTCCTCGCAGGCCTTTCTTAACGCAGTCGTCACACTTCCCACTGCACGATGGCTCGTATTCAACGGGGGCCAACCGTTAATGTCATCGACTGAACCTCAGACAACGAAGGCAGAGCTAGCTTACCTTACCACCGAAGGCGTGAAGCCATTCCTAGGTCCGGAACCATTCTTTGGGCAAGGACAATCGGCAGGCGAAGTAATTGTGGAGAAGGAAGACGACGAAGAACGTGGGCACCATTCACCGACGGAAGGGGCTCGCCATCTTGGTGTACGAGTCGTGTTTTTGGGTCTCCACGAAACGCAATCTGGTCACAACGGCACGGCACTCCCCTCCTCTGAATTCAGCGATCCAGAGCAAGCGGTCAAGAAACTCCAAGGAATACCGTACCTGGCTGTCGACATTCAGGATCTGGAAGAGTCCCCTGAAAGAATTCAAGAGATACTGAACCAGACGACGCTTGGGCAGCAAGGAAGGATACTGAGTTGGTCGGAACCGCGCTCTCTTATATCCAATGCCGATCCAGTTACGGCGGGTATATTTGCTCCGGCTCGAAGTATGATAGACTGGAATCAACGCAATAAAGTAAGCAACTTGTTACTCTGTTGAGTTTAGTTGTGTTCTGACGAAGATAGTTCTGTGCCGGTTGTGGTTCGCCGACCTATTCCATGTGGGGAGGCTGGAAGATTGCGTGCAGAACATTATTGCCTTGGGCTGATAACAGTAATCGGAGCCCTTGTCCCACTGTGTATGTACCCGTTCAACTCTATGGAAATCTCGCGATATTGACCCTTTGGATATTACTAGAAAGGGACTACATAACTTCACTCATCCACGAACCGACGCGGTGGTCATAATGATCGCAATCGACGAAACTGGCGATAAAGTTTTACTTGGAAGAGGCGTGAGTATATTGGAATATATGTATGTGCGGAGACTGAGGACTTTGCACAGAAACGGTACCCCGGCAAATTCTACTCCGCTCTCGCTGGATTTATTGAGCCTGGCGAATCATTCGAGGACGCTGTGGCCAGAGAAATGTGGGAAGAAGCGGGTGTCCATGTCTGGAATGTGACTTATCATTCCGGTCAACCATGGGTCAGTCGGCCGGCCTTCCAGTACGTAGATAAATATGTTGATATTTCTCTTGCAGCCGTACCCGGCGAACCTGATGGTCGGTTTCTACGCTCGTGCCGATTCGACGAAGCCAATACGAACGGACTTAGATAACGAACTTGTTGGTCAGTACTGTCCTAGATTTAAATAACCCCCCCTGATCGTCCACCATCAGATGCGCGCTGGTTTACGAGACAGGAAGTCGAGTCTGTTCTAGGCCATACGGCGGGGACCACGTTTCGCAGTGCCGATTACAAGAAGATGGCGGAGATCATCGACGGACCGAACAAAGCCTCACAGCTCGAACCCGCTGCGCAAGCGCTGGCTCCTCCAGATCATACGAAACCCAATCCCCAATACGTGCCTTCGAACGACGAACCTCCCTTCCGCCTTCCTCCATTGACTGCAATTGCTGGTGTGCTCATCAGGGACTGGGTTGATCGTAAGATAGGATTTCCTGTGAACGAGAGTTCAATCCCGAAAGGCAACCTATAGAACCGCGCATGTATTGTATATATGTCGGTCCATTCATAGATTAATACAGAAGCTCGATTTTAGATGTCCTTCCACCGAGATTCGCATTTGCTTCTGAATACCAACTTCACTGTTGACCAATTCAACGAGACTCGAGCGACGAGTACAACTTGCAAAAATTACATATGCAGTGCCTTCCAAGTAAAACATGTTACCGTTCTCCTTTGCGCAATGCGAGGCAGATGTCAGAAATGGACATTGGAGAATCTTGGAGATAGAAAGCAAAAAAAAGGAGGAAAAAAACCATCAAATTCCGGTACGGGGAATCGAACCCCGAGCTACCGCGTTCAGACTAATCTTGAAAGGCGGTAATGTTAGCCGTTACACCATACCGGATTTATAAATATGAGTCTCCTAAGGAGAGCATAATGTCAGTAGCAAATGAACAACTGTCATTTGACGTTGACAGAAAGCCGGCAGTCTGACTTCAAGGTATCCTTCATACCCCTACCTCAACAGCAGTCCGTACGCTCATATCCCCAGCTATTTATCGTTTTTCACACTAAACGAACCGAAGTCGCTTCTTGAAATTATGAAAGCATGAGCTTTTCTGGTCTACGGTTCCTCCTTACTTCTGACATCGTCATCGCCTGCTTCCTACCTTTGGTTATCCTTCTCGCCACATATAAGCACCTTCCGACTTTCTCTCTGGCAGATATATGGGACATTTTAGCTCCTGGATATTCAAAACGACGACATCGTGGCCACTTCACATTGCAAAGGGCATATTATGCGTTCTCTCAGTATGCGCGCCTTTCAGCAGACGAACTTTCGCGAATGCGAACCTCGTACACCTCCCTTTCTCGGTCTGGGAAGAAAATAGGCTACAAAATCGGATATCCTAGGAAACTGGACAGGTTGCATGACGTGACGAGTCTGAATGCGACGCTCACAGATGGCATAGTGGAGCTGGCAGAGAACGAATTTCCATCGCTCAAGGAGGAACCGACAATTCATACCGGACCCGCGGATCTCGGACGCGTGCGGGAGTCATTGAAACATTTCGTTAGGGATTGGAGTGAAGAGGGTGCCACGGAACGTGCCCGAATATTTGCACCTATACTTGATTTTTTGAAGGAGGTTGATTCGAGAAACAGAATAGATCTGAAGGTGCTCGTACCTGGCTGTGGTCTTGGACGGCTGGCTTGGGAAATATCTCAACTTGGTACGTTTACCGCATATTTTTTTTCAACGCCCTGTTACTCAGCGCGTACAACAGGATATGATACAACGGCAAACGAGCTCTCATTTTTTATGACATTACCACTCCGCTTCCTGCTCTCACAGAAGACCACGAAGACGGTCAACGAACATAACATTCGTCCATACGCACATTGGTTTTCTCATCAATACTCTAATGATTCCCTATTCCGAACTATCAGCTTCCCGGATGTTGTTCCGAGGTTCAGCGCGAACTTCCGTCTAGCAGAACAGGATTTTCTAGAGCTCCAGGCACCAACGGGCGAAACTAGAGCTGGCGCAAAATTAGCGGGTACCAATGCAACAAGGCAACTCACAGCAGGTTATGACTACATCGTAACTCTATTCTTTATCGACACCTCTCTCGATGTCTTTGCCACAATGACTCATATTTACTCCTTGCTGCGCCCTGGCGGTACGTGGATCAATCTCGGTCCATTGCTATGGACTGGAGGAGCCCAATCTAAGATCGAGTTGAGCCTGGAAGAGGTACTACACGCTGCGGAGGAAGTCGGTTTTACCGTTCAAGCTGCAGGGGGCGGTCCCGCCTGTAGAAAAACAATTGAATGCGAATATACCGGGGACAAGAACGCTATGATGCGCTGGACTTACAAGGCTGAATTCTGGGTCGCGACAAAACGTGAGTAACCTCGTACTTTTCCCGGCGCTCACTAGCCATACTTTTCAACCTTCCACTTTCGTTTCATTGCTCGGGAGTCCGAATACGTCGTCAAGTTGTTCCTGGTCTTCTTGAGGACATACTTCCAGTCTGCGCCGTAGCTGTATGGAACAAAGGGACTGTCCAGACTCTCCCTTGCATTGTAATAATATGACGGTGGTTTTTGTGCTCCGGCAGTACGCGTCTACGTGTTTACGCGTTTCATATTAAAGACGTTGGAGAAAGCAGGATGTACTCAAACCCGGTGGGTCGTATCGCGAGGCTCGCAGTTTACCTACTCAATTCCAGAGACGGTATGTCATCCGATTCTGGGCATCGATGCCTTGCGTCATTTGATGTTTCCCAGCGCCAGAAAATCTGTGTTACAAATAGATCTACATCATGGGAACCCTCGGCGCTTGTGGCATCCTCAGAAGTTTAGGTACCACGTCAAGGTGCCTGTGGCTGCATCCGGGATCGCCTTGTGTAACCGCGGCTACTCGTAGCCTTTGTGCGCTGCTCAACAGATCCACGACTGCGAGACGACGAGGGAAACGCAGCAGAAAAATGCGCACAGGTAAAATCTGAAACAATAGCGAGGAACGGTCGCGGTGCAATACCATGTGTATATTTTCCTTGATTCATATTTCATAACTCAAAGTGCTCAGGATCATTCTGTATCTTTTTCCTTTTCTAGGATGGTGCAGAGCTTAAGCTATACGCGGATGCGAAAATCTCGACTATCAACAACGGGTACTACAAAACGCAACCGGCAAACGCTTTCATGCTGCTAGTATCCGACCCTATCGACAGATGTTTTGCCTCCGACTTCACTTCTAACCTCATAAATACTTATTTATTAAATGAACAATGGTCCTGTAATTGGTACCACGGCGCCTATTAGGAACCTTTAGCAATTTAGAGAAGGCGATTACACGGAAACCCAAGTTTCTGGTCACAGCTTCGAGTTTGCATTTCGTTCGATGGCGGAGATCGCAGCATTTTCCGGAGTAGGTCTAGACGCCCAACAAATTGTGAACAATGAAAGCAACCGCATTTAGGATCTGCACCGAGTCATGTAGATTCACGGTATCGTCTGCCGCATTTCTTGAAACCGGTGAGTTTATCAGTTTCTAAGCTGGCCTATTTATAACTTTTGGTTATATTTAGATTTGATCCGCCTAATTTTAGCCGTAATCAGCGTAAACTATCGACTGCCAGTTGACATGCGTCTGCGAGCGGCACACAAAAATATCCACGCGCGCAGAGTCTTTTGAATTATAACAATGCTTGTTGCTTTGCTGCCGGACACAGCTACAACTAATTCCGCACGCAAGTTACAAGTGCCACCTATCAGCTAGTCCTCGTTGAATGCCGCCGCCGTGTGTTATGCGGATTTGATGGAGTCTTTGCCAAGTCATCTCCAACGTCGATTCCTATTTGTTGGTGGCCGTTTCTCAGCCGTTTCCAGCAGATTCAAAGCGATGCGGAACCACTAGTAATTCGGAGTGCGTATATCGTCTATTTATATGCCTTTCCAAGTCTAGGCGCTCGCTCATTGTATGAGCTCGAGGTAAAACGTCAGATTCATATCTCTGGGCAGTGACTATGGTATGGGAACTACGCAGCGGCTACGCACTGCGATCCGATTTGAATATTCGAACATCTCAGTGGCCTTTCAGGTATATAAAGGAGGCCATAAATCCAAGTATCATCCAGCTATCGGTCCACTGTCTTTCAGCGTCACCACTTTATTCTACTAATAATATGCGGCTCAACACAAATTTCTACTTTATTGCTATTCTATCATCTATTTGGTCAGTCTCGGCATTTAATATGTCCTGGTTCTTTTTCTAATTGTGATATACAGGCCCTATTTACTGGCCGATGCTCTTGCCATTCGCCAGACCACCAATACTACAACAACCACCAATGGAACAGTAACTCCAGTGCAGACCGCGGCCAACACCTATGACTACATCGTCGTCGGGTCGGGTCCCGGGGGCGGCCCACTAGCCGCGCGCCTTGCCCAGGCCGGGTTTTCCGTCCTCCTTCTTGATGCCGGCCAGGATCACGGAACGGACGACATCGTCGAGATCCCGCTCTTCCAAACGATGGCCTCGGAATACACGCCTATCACTTGGTCATTCTTCGTCGATCATTTCGAAGATGCCGCGACGGCTATGCAGGATCCCAAATATACCTGGAGGCAGCCCAACGGCACGTACTGGGTCGGCCCGAACCCGCCTGCCGGCAGCACGCCCCTGGGAATCTACTACCCTCGCGCGTCGGCTTTGGGCGGGTGCGCGGAGCACAATGCGCTGGTGGCGCTGTACCCTGCGGAGGACGACTGGAACACCATCGCCAATATCACGGGGGACAGCTCGTGGGCGGCGGCGAACATGCGCCAGTACTGGGAGAAATTAGAGAACAACCAGTACATCACCCCCGGGACGGCCGCCGCAGCGGGACACGGCTTCAGCGGGTGGCTCGACACCACGCTCACCGATTTGGATCTCATCCTCGAGGACACGCGGTGGCTGAGCCTGCTGCGCGGCGCGGCAACGGTCATGGGCTCCAGCCTGGCCACGTCTGTGATCAACACGGTGGCTGAGGTTGCTGCGCTGATGATAACGGACTTCAACAATATTTCCCCGGCGCGCGACACCACGCCGGGAATATACCAGATTCCCCTTTCGGTCACGAACACCACCGGCGCGCGCTCGAGCCCGAGAGACCTGATCCTCAGCACGGCGAGCTCGTTCAAGCTGACGGTCCAACTGAACTCCCTTGTCACGCGCATTCTCTTCAACCAGGCCTCCGGGACCCCCCAGGCTGTCGGCGTCGTATATGACACGGGCGACTTCCTGTACCGCGCCTCTCCCAACTCGGGAACCGCGACGCAGACCGGCACCGGGGCTGCCTTCGCCAGAAACGAGGTCATCATATCTGCCGGGACGTTCAACACCCCGCAGCTCTTGAAGCTCTCTGGAATTGGGCCGGCTGCCGAGCTGAAGTCCTTCGGCATCCCCGTCGTCCTCGATGCGCCCGGCGTCGGCACGAACATGCAGGACCGCTACGAGGTCACCGTCACCGGCACGCTCCCCACCAACTTCCCGATCTACGCCAACTGCACGTTCCTCGAGCCCGCGGCGGCGGACGACCCGTGCTTCGAGCAGTGGTCGACGGACGTGACGGACCACGGGATCTACGGCACGAACGGCGTCGCGTTCGGCGTCGTCCTGCAGAGCAGCGTCTCCGCGCCGACGAGCGCCGACCTCTTCGTCGGCGGGCTCCCGGCGGACTTCCACGGGTACTTCCCCGGGTACTCCGCCGCGGCGGACCTGCACACCTGGTCGTACCTCGTGCTGAAGGCGCACAGCCGCAACAACGCGGGGACGGTCACGCTGACGTCGACGGACCCGCGCGACCCGCCGCACGTCGCGTTCAACAGCTGGACGGTCGGCGGCGCGGACGA